TCCACTAGAATACCTGATCTAGACTTGGAAATTAATTAATAATAGTTAAATTAATTTGTGCAAGGCATGATGCTTAGCGTACAACATGGATTCTTCTCACATAACCATCACAACTACTCTGTGTGGATTTAGACAATTTATTCTCATTTACAGATAGAAAAATGGACTAGCCCAAGGTTTCAGAAGATATCTATGATAGTGATGATGATCTGAAATCCATTGCCATTGCTCACTTTAGCTGACAGTAATTGAAAGGCAAACCTTTGTTTGCTTTGTAAATTTAAAGTGTATTCAATGTGAGAAAACTGATTGCAAAAGAAAAAAAAATTCAATCTATGAAAGCTGATTGCAAAAAAAAGTAAAAATAGAAATAGATTAAAAGTGTGTCTAATTATTTGGAACTTCGGTACTGCTTTCTTTATATGTCAAGGTGACACATGCTACCCCTTCTGGCTAGAATGCTCTTCCCTCCCAATTTACCAAGCTAAATTTCTTACTAAGTTTTCAAGCCTTGGCTCAGGATTGCTTCCCTGAAGAAGATATCTGTGGCAGCCAAACTGGGTCAATTTCTTCTGTAACACCTTGTACATAGCTGATTCTTAAGTACTTTTAACTATGGGAGAGTTGGATATTGACTTCTTGCATGGTCAGTTCCTAACATAGACCTGTCATAGAAAAATTACTTCATGAATTACTGCATGATCGAGTTCCCTAAATATCAAGTTGTTCTGAATTAGATTAGAGTTATATGTCAGGTATGCAACATGTTGCAACAACAGATGAAGGAACAAGAACATACTATGTAGCAAGATAGGACAGAGCTGATTCATGAGGAAAATAGTTTGAAGAGATCAAATATGTCCATAGAAAAATAAAAGCATATATTTAGAAAGCAAAAAGAGCCCAAGAAAGACAATTGAACATGTAATTGCTGAGAGTATGAAGAGTAAAATGGAGACAAAGATGAAGTTAAACTGAAGATATTTCCTGGAGCAAGTTCTGAATCCCTAGATTTCCCCTTCTTACACAACCAGGTGTTTTGGAACTAATGTTGATAGTAGAGTTCCATTGTGTTCTTAACCCATTATGCAGCCACAAGCAGATGGGATATTGTATTATTTTTAGTAGCATGGAAGTGACTATAAATATGCTAAACATTAGTTCACCAACTGCTTATTTTCTTACTTCATTAGAGAAGAAAATTACCCCATTCATAGAATGTTTCATTTCCTTTTCCACAGAGCTGATCACTAAAGCATAGGTCTCACTGACATGGCAATTATTTCAGAACAAGAAGAAGAAAGCTACATTACACGTTGTCTAAATTATTGAATTCTTACAAAATCAAGGTAGAGGTCAGAAGTAGGATGGAATATTTTCCAGCTGTTTAGGAAGACATATTATTAAGAGTTTTATACAATGATACTATGAGAAGATGTCAGGCCATAGGAAGTGACCTGGGCTCAGTCTTCCTTATCTTCCCTATCTCGGACTCTATCATGAGGACACCGAACAAAGTGATCTTAAAGGTCACCTTCACTTGTAAAGTCTATGCACTAGGCTGCTTTTTGTTATATACTCCGCTGATTACTTGTCTTTTAGTTATTTTATTGATCATTAATGATCAATATCTATGATGGCGTGACACTCTCTAATCATTTTATTTGAATTCTTATTAGCAGTTCCTGGGTGGGAATAGTTAAGATAATAGGTTTTGGAGAGATTGAATAGCACATTCACTGGAATTTGCCAATTTACCAACTATCTGAACTCAGTTAAGTTTCTCAACTTCTACAAGCACAAATTTCCTCATTTGCAAATTGGGGTTAATGATAGAACCATGCTCATAGGGTTGTGGTAAGTATTAAATGAGATAATTCATGTAAAGTGGCAGATATTTATTGACTAATAATAAGTATTATTTTTGTTAGTTTTGTGGGAAAATGTGTTCAAAGTTTCATATATCTGGATTTTTGTGTGCAAAGTTTATTTATTTACATGTTCTTTCCTATTATCCCTGAATAAAACAAGAGGTTACTTAAAAAACAAAATTCAGGGAGTCAATGACTATAAGAACCATACATGCAGTCTAATTGCTTCATAAACCCTACAGTGTTTTTTTTTTTTTTTAATGCCAAGAACCCAGTTAACTTCAGCTGAATACCTGTGAAGTATAAATCTCTACTAATTATTGATAAAACAATTGGGTATAACGTAACTGTGTCATTGAATAAATCATGTTTTCTTTCAGTTGATTCAAATCCCTGGCAGTACATAATCATAAAGACAGGCAGGCATGTTGTTACTTTACTTATAATGTGATTCCAAGATCTCTGCCATCTGCTTTGAATGGCAAACTGTCGACACTCTAATAATTTAGTATATGAACTTTGTTGCTTGACTAATGTATGTTTATCATAATTAATGATTTTTTTCACTATATCTGTAGCTTCTTTGTGCCTTGCAATTTTTTTCTCTGAAGGTGGTTTGTGTTAGTGATATTATACTACGAAAGAAACTCTTCCAGGAAACAAATTATTTGTTGTTTCAGTAAAAGCAGTCCATGATCCTGAGACAACTCCATAGATAGCATGAGTTTTACAAATTATTTTCTTCACAGTTATGATTTCCTAAATAGGATATAAAATATGAAATGCTGTACAAAGTAGAAAACCAAAGTCACTTGTTCTTTATTTAGTATTACAGTAATGTCTGAGTTTGTTAGGGATTGGAACTAATATTATGAAAATTTTCTCCATGTACCGGGTACTATATACATGTTATTTATTATTTACAGCTACAACCTTGGCCAGTTAAGTTGCATACATTTTGAATTTATCTATGTTTACATTGACACTCAAAGAAATCAGGATAACCTATCCTAGATCACACAAGTACGTAAGCAAGCATGCATTTGAACCCAGGTTAATTTTATTCCAGAATACGTGTTTCCAGTATACTACAATCACATATTGTGGTATATTGGTGTTTCCATTATACCACAATGGCAAGTATTACGCACTCATGGATGTCTATCATGGTCCCTGAGACCCAGACTTCCTGTGAGTGTAGGTTTTACAGGGTGTAAATTGTGCATTTACATCCTATAAAATGCATATTTTTTAATAACCCTGCAATATATGGTTAAACAAAATAATCCTAAAATAAATTTTCAAAGAAAGAATGTAAGGAAACTCTATGAAAAGAGATGTTTGATTCAAAAGTAGATAGTAGACTCAAAGTGGACCAAATGATGCTGATTAAGTGAAGAGACTTCTTATTCACTCGTTAGATAATTGTCATTCTTTCATTTTCAGCCTTAGCTCTGTGCCAATAACTGAGCTGGCTGCCAGGGATACCAGAGTAATCAACAGCTAGAATAGTCCTCATACTCTAATTTCTTAGAATCTTATTAAGGAGATATGTTAATAAGTAAAATTATGAAATTATATCTACTTACTGTGATCTGTGTTTTAATAGAAAATATAGGGGACTATGAAAATTATAACATGGAGATATGGACACACATATGCTACAAGAGAACCAATTAAAAATCATTATGAAAACACAAAAGCATTCTACCTATTCTGTACATTTAAATATTCAGGTTTGTAATGAGGATGTAATAATGATATGAATAAACTCATATAATTGAATTGTTTTTTAATAATTCTAGTACAAATATTTTTGTAATTTCATTTGTGATAGAATGGTGAGATTATAGAATTTTTTTTCTCTTTCATTTTCTATTTTTAAAATATATGCATAGTTACATGATTTTTTAAAGTAGACGTAAAATTATCTCTCATATTAAAATATTTTTTAAGAATGGTGACTGAATCTTGGGAAATACTGTGAGGGGAATGTGTGGGTATGTTGGGGGGGTATAATTTGATTTTTTTTCTTTCTTGTTTTGGGCTAAATGAACTTTGTACTCCTGATATGCCTGATCTTCAGTTTTGAAGGTGAGGAACTACAGCTGCAAGTCAGCTACAGTGATCTCCTTTCCTGGTTTCTGGCTCATAGACTTGATTAAAAGGAAAATTGAAAACATATCCAACCTTGAATTAATGCTACAAGATTAGGGCAAGCCTACGGAAATCAGACTTTCAAGGCACTAGCTCATTTCTGCTTTTGCTAAGTAATCAGAGTGCAAAATAAAAATGAAAACTATTTCATTGATCATTTATTTACAGTCCTATCAACCCAGGTTTAGATGCATTTTTGTGTGACAAGACATGTTCAGTGATATATCTTAAATTATATAAGTACATAAATATCTATGTGTGTGTGTATATATATATATATATATACACACACACAAAAATGCGGTCACATGTATATATATATTTTAAAAATATTTTTTCCTGAATGACGTAAATCTTACTTAAAATATATTTTATTTCTTTATCTTATTAGAAAAGTAATCCTATAACATGTTACTATAAAAGATTTTTTTAATGCTATAAGTATAAAGGAGAAGCTAATAACCATCTATAATCCCAAGGCATGAAGATAAACCATATTTCCATTTTTGTGAATGTCCTTCCAGTATTTATCATACATATAAATATATATTCTACTATATATATATATGCACATACACAATAAATATATATGTGCATATTTATTTTGTAAGTATAAGATAATATTTTATGATCTTATATTCTTACTTATAATGATATTTTTCAATATCTTGTAATGGCTATTTAACATCCTGCCATATTAGCATTCTATATTGATCAATTAATCCCTTAGGGTTAGACATCCAAGCATTTCCACCTTTTTGCTGTTATATACAATGTCGTGATAAACATCCTTACAGAGAAATCTTGAAGTCACTAACTTGAAGATGGAGTTTTATCTGCATTAAATAAGTTACAGAACTACATGAGCTAGAAATACAATTCCCCAAGTCTAATTCCTTTCCCTCTTTCCATCTATCCACTGAATCCATCTTCAAACTGACTTCTAAGGTAGAGTAAAAAATAAGCTGAATTGTGCTCACTTGACAGCATATATACTAAAATTTAACAATACAGAGATTAGCATCTCCCCTGCACAAGGATGACATGCAAATTCATGAAGCGTTCCACATTTTGAAAAAAATTAATAAATAAGTTGAATTACTTTAAATAATGTGTGTGACAATGGGATCTTAAATGAAAATTATATAACTACTGACTATGTAAGTTTGATCCTTTTTTTCATATTTTTGCCAGGTTAATAAGTTAAAAAATGCAAATATAAAAAAAGCCCATTTGTTCTTGGATGTTCCATGACTACCTTGAAGTTATTAATACTGTATATACTAGATATACCATATACACTATAAGATTGCAAAATGAAGATAGAGCATAAGTGATAGAGCCTTTTAGAATGTTACTATTACTGGGATAATGACAAAGGCTTTATGATTGCTAGCTTCCTCTCTCCTCCAGCAAGTATACATTCTCTACTGTCTACGTCAGATTCAGTTGGCCAGCATTACTGACTGAAAAATGATAGAATTACTTTTCTTTTATTGTTTTTATTAATGACTGTGAATATAAATCTAGAGTAAATTGCCCAACTGAAAAAGGAACATTGAAGAAGAAAACCAAAGTAAGTTTTCTTATGTATGTGACATTAAGGCACTGAAAGCCAATTAGCAGACTCTGCCTCACTTTGTTTACGCATCCCTCATGGGGTTAATATATATGGCCAGTGCTAATGAGCTAGTTATATGGCCAAATAATGATAGCCTGCGGAAAGAGAAGGGAAGCTGACATCCTGACATTTATTTTCAAAATAGCTGAACATTTTCCAGGCACATTTTGTCGGTTCTACTGACAAAAGTTCTTCTGTTAGCCATCTAGAATAAAATTCTTCTCAACATGACATAATTGAGGATCCACCTTAAAACTCTGAAAAATAAAGATCTTTTCAAATTCAGATTGACTTTCTGACTCTCTCTCTTTTTACTTTGTGAAGACATTGAGCTTGAAATGAATGTAGTTCTTCTTGTAAGTATAAAAAAGTTGAAGGGCAAAGAAGATCCTTTAGGAATTGCTGTTGAATAGATTGATATTTTAAAATTTGAAATAAAAGTGACTACATAAAATTGTATTTGTTCATATCTTAGAATTTTAATATTTAAGATTTTGAACTGATAAACTAACAGCTGACAGAGAGGGTTATTTAAAAAAAGAGTCCCAGGTTTTAAGCCTAAACAATTGACCTTTTAGCTTAGCAAAGCTACTAAGTATTTTAGATAGTGAACTAGAATAAAGGTTTTTCTGGAAGGAATGTCTTGAGGTGTACATGGGGACATCATAACAAATGCCAGAGAAGATCAAGGGCCTGCACAGTACGCTGAGAACCAAAGAGAGTCAATGAAGAACTTGGCATTAAAGAAGTCACATGAGGCTAGGCACAGTAGCTCACACCTATAATCCCAGCACTTTGGGAGGCCTAGGTGGGAGGAGCATTTGAGCCCAAGAGTTTCAGACTAGCTTGGGCTACATAGCAAGACCCATCTCCACAAAAAATACAAAAATTAGCTGAATGCAGTAGGGCATGCCTCTAGTTCCAGCTTCTTGGGAGGCTGAGGAGGTAGGATCCTTTGAGGCTGCCCTGCACTCCAGCCTGGGTGACAAATTGAGACCCTGGTAAAAAGAGAAAGAGAGAGAAAGAGAGAGAGAGAGAGAGGAAGAGAGAGAAAGAAAAAGAGAAAAAGAAAGAAAGAGAAAGAAAAGAAAGAAAGAAAGAGAAAGAAAGAAAGAAAAAGAAAGAAAGAAAGAAAGAAAGAAAGAAAGAAAGAAAGAAAGAAAGAAAGAAAGAAAGAAAGAAAGAAAGAAAGAAAGAAAGAAAGAGAAAGAAAAAGAAAGAAAGAGGAAAGGAAAAGAAAAGAAAGAGGGAGGGAGGGAAGGAAGGAAGAAGGAAAGAAAAGAAAGAAAAAGGAAGGAAGGAAGAAAGAGAAAGAAAATTGCATTACATGGACAGACTGTGAGAGAGTGGGAAGGTGATGGGCTGAGGTGAGAAAATGTAGAAAGAGAGATAAACTAAAATGCAATTGGAGCATTCTAGGTGAAAAAATAATAAAGGGTCTTACCATAGTTCAGAAAAGAAATAGAATTGATGGCTATGTAGTTAAATTCTTTTTTAAAAAATGAGAAAGAGTTGGGATTTGGAGGCGCTTAAATGTTAATATGGACATCTGACCCAAATAATTGGGTTGTGTGTGTAGATTGCAGACCCAATCTACACTGACATCTTGTTTTTAATCATATGGCCAAAGCTCTTTTTAAATACCATTTATTCTCTCAATTTACCCATAACCTTTACATTTTTGAAACTTAGAACAGAATTTGGATGATGTATTGTTATCCATCAACTTGGGACTTTGGACAAGATGGAGAAATTATATGTATATTCTAGATCCTTTCCTGACACACTATTTGACCATTTGCTTTCAACATAACTTTGGCATATATACTTTATTTGATTTGGTGAGCCATATGTCTTCACCAGAAGAAAACTAAAACAAAATTAAAATTAAAAATATAATGTAATGACATTCAATTTCAATTTTTTCTGAATTGATTGTAGTGATTTATTATCCTGGTATTTTTGACACTGAAAGATATCTATAGTTGCTTTTAAATTTTCGTGTCCCTCTGAATTACTTTCAAAGCAAAAGCTTTTCCCAAGAAAGACCAGATGTGGATCTAGGTTTAAATGTAGGTATATCTTTGAAGAATTATGTCTTTGGGCCCCTCCTTCCTAATATCTAGCACAGAGTAATGTCTCTGAGAAAGAATCAAACTTGACAATTTCCATGGTGACATCATCCCTTCTCTAGAAACCTTTATGAAAAAAGTGTCCTTGAAGCCAACTCTATGGTAAGCTTGGAAAAAAACAGAGGCTGAGCTGCTTAAATAATGAAGCAAGGTCATCCTGTTTCCTTAGAAAATGTTTTTATTACTCTGAAAGGAACTTTGGAATGGAATCAAAAAGTGAATTGCAGCCCCTCCCAGCTTAGAAGTTGTGTTTGGATTATTAAAAAGACTTAGCTAGTGTTAGTGAAATTAAAATGGGGAATATGCAGTACCAGTTCAATATAAAATCTGTATAAGTTTCCATAAGTCATACATTAATACTTATTTGCATATCTTGTAAGATTTATTTCTTTTACGTATTATTAGAATCACAACATTAGAAAGTGATCTAGCCTCAATAGCTGTGGAAGAATAAGACAGAGATTTTAGTATGAAATGATTTAATATGTGTGCATTCTCAAAGTTTTTCTTCATATTCCCTCCTTATATTGTCAAAATTTGTTTGAAAAGTACATTAAAATAAAACACCAAATACAGTTATAGTGATACTATCAATTTAACTTTTCATTTCTAACTGTCCTATGTTTGACATGTCATTATAGTTAATTTTTGTCAGACAAATGCACAGAAAATAAAATAAATGTACTATTTTATGTTGTTTGTTCATACAAATAAGTGAATTCATTGGACAAAACTAAAATATTGGGGGGAAAACCCAACTACTTATAGAATTGTATATTTTCTCTCTTACTCATTATTTTTTCCTTTTGTTTTCAAATAACTGTTGTCTTCTCGATGAATCTCATATTTTACTCCTGCTTTGAAAATTAGCTTTAGACACATTCCAACACAATTCTGTACTTAGATAATCATTAACAAATGTTACCCCAGCCTGACCTTTCTGGCCAGACAGCCACCAAGAGATAAATGTTTTATGAGGCTTCGCCTTTAAAAGAGACTACATCCACCCTCAGGCACCTATACCTCAGGAACCTTTCTTTTTGTACAAACCTTTGTCTCTCTTTGCATTTCAAAATGAAATGATTTACGTTGATTTAGTTTTTATAAACATTGGTACAACAATAGGCTTGATGCAGTGATTCTCTTTTGCCCACCAAGCATTCCCTAACCCTAAATCTAAAATGAGGATTTGAAATGTCTCTCAACACAGCATACAGGTGGAAAAGAACATGTACTAGGGATTAGTCTTATTCACACAAATTCCCTGGCCATGTTTTGTGAACCTCAGTTATGCCAGAACTGGTCTCTTTCACTTCACTGAGCTCCTAAAGCACACAGGACATGCCTTTTTTATTTTCTTCAGAGTGTGTCTGCTTTGCACAAATTAGGTGCTCAACACAACTTGGCTCTGACTGTCACTGCTGGTAAGATTTCCTCTTGGCCTTGGTTATTTGTCAGATGATTGCATGGTTGTCTAACTGATTTCCTGGTTTCTAGGCTTTTTCTTTTCCAATTTAGCTCACATAGTACTACTAAATTAGATGAATGCATTAATTCTGTTATTGGGCTGTTCAGCAGCCCCTCCACTCTTGTTGGAATTTTACTTGATTTTTCACATTCCTTCTTAGATTTTTATGTCCTGTTTAAAATTTTTACTATGAGTATGTAGTTTTACTTAGATGTAATTAAGAAAAAAAACTGTTTTTATTCCAAAAAGATATTCAGATATTCAAAGGAACAAACACCTAGTCTAATAAAATAACTCTGAATATAACAGCATCTTGGGTTTCCAAAGGAATATCATCAGTCTCTGCACTTGATTCTGCTGCTGTCAACAACCAAGTATCAGCCATTGTGGAAAGAAGGAGATACCTACACAGATACGCATAAATATAAACACACAAAACTAGCAGATGGATTTATAGAAATGCACCTATATATCCATAACTAGACATAAAGGTCTAAGCGATGTGTACCCACAGGCTGACAGTAGTTGTGTTTGTACAATAGGATAATTTAGTGTATTTGCATTTGTATCATTTTCTGAAGTGAGTTCATAGCTTTCATTAGAGTTTCAAACACATAGGTGATCGCCCAAATAGTAACATCTACTTTTCTAGACTTTCATGTCCAGATAGCTGGTCTTCTACCTTTATCTAGAAAAAAAATTAACTGTGTCCTAATCTTTCTGCATTGCTGATGCTTAATCATTTTCCTTTTAAAGTTCTCTTTCCTCTTTTCAACAGAAATCATTAAAATCTGATCCCTCTTTGAAGACTCAAATCATATGCTGTTCCTTCTCTTTTATGAATTACTGCCAA